CTTTATCTATATATATATATATATATATATATATATATATATTTGTGTTTAGGTTATCAAAATCTTATATTTTCTAAAGATGATTTTCAAAAATCTCTTTATGATCATATTTAACCTTAATCACGGTAAATATTTAAAATTTATAAGGTTAAATCATTGGACCTTTGTTTTGACCAAGTCAATAAATAATTAACAAGATAGTCTCTGCATGTGATTGATTGAGATAATTTATTATAGGACAAAATTTAAATATAGTTCTTTAAGTATATTACTTTTATTTTTCAATCAATAAATATATATTAATTAAGTCCACATTAAATGTGAATGCATATTATTGAAGTAAAATTTCAATTTTAACCAATTTTACATTAAAGAAATATACTTAAAATTTGTTATTTGTTTAGCCAGTTTTGGATTCCAAAAGTACAATATATTATTTTTTAATTAAAATTTAGAATACATTAAAATAATTTAAATTTTAATTATTATTATCATTTTTTTACATGACTAACTAATTACAGGTGGTATCATTCATGACACTTGTCAATATTTTTAATTTTAAAAATTAAAGGAAAAAATTTAAAAGGATTTTTTTTAAGAATTGAAATTGCACATTTGCAAAATATAGGATCAAATTTGGTCTTGAACCAAAATAGAGAAATAAACAAAGATAAAATGAATTGAAAATAAAATAAAAAAGAAAGTTAAAGAGTAATTGGTGTTATACGAGATAGATATTTGTTAGTAAAATTCAGGATAACATATATATAGGTGAGTAGAGCTGTCAAAATGGGTCGTGGCCTGTGGGTCAACTCGACCCACCTTGAAAACGGGCCGGGCCGGGCCAAAATAAATAACAGTTTTATAGTAAGTGGGTAAATTTAAACCTGACCCACTTTTACCCGGCCCACTTGGGCTAAACCCGTGGTGGGCCGGGCAGCCCACCAGCCCACTTTTTTTTATTTATTGCAACAACCAATCCAAATAGGAACAGTCCGAACAGAGAGCATAAAGTGTAAAACAAAACCAGGCAAATTTGAAAACCCTATTCTAGCAAGGAAACGGGACCACGCCACGCCGCACTTCACTACTTCAGCTTCGGCTTCACGAAGGCTCTGCTTCACTGCTTCATCTTGACGAAGGATAGTCAAATATATCACATCTAGTGTGGTGACTAGTGTAAAGTGTAAACCTCTATCAGTAAGAAGTTGAAAGTAAAAACTATAGCAGATGACACTAACACAGGCCCTCACTAATGATAGAATTATAATCTTTTAATTGACATAAATTGGCCTCATTAAATGAGATGAAGCACCTATCACATCAGAGACTTTTTAATGTTTACTAAATAGTTTTTCTCATGAATGTTATAAACAATTCAAAAGTGGCAATAGTATAGTTCCAAACTTTTACATAAGATTTTTTAGAAAAAATGTTCCTATACATGAAAAATCAGAAGTGTAGTTCCCTTTCATGGTAGTCACAATTTACCGAAGACAGCCATAAAAATGTTAAAACATAAGCCAGAGTGCAAGGCCAAAGTATTGGAGTTCGGTGATCATGACAGATTTGATGATTTTATGATAGAGCATTCTTTCTTAAAAGAATAATAATTAAATTAGAGGTACTACTACCAGTCTCATAGACAACTGAAAAGGAAACTACAAATATATTAGTAATGCAGGTGAAAAGTCACTGACATGTATAACACTAACACTATTATGATAAATAAGAAAATCTGTGACCACTGAACATAAAATAAAACTCTACAAATTGACCTCATAAGATTTATGAAACCAATACACAAAAGAGATAGCATCAAGATTTGTGATTTCGCATTTCAAAAGCCATACCTCTGAGTGAAGCTCTTGCATTATTTCATACATGTCCAATAGTACAAATAACTTTTCTGGAGATCTCTTGCTTTTGGCAATTGCTTCTCCAAAACTGAGTAGCATTGAGACACTGTTTGTAGTCACCTCGGCAAAACACTGTTCACTAAGTGAATCAAAGCCTTCAAATATCTGATCACAAACTTTTCTCTCACCAGCAAACAACAATTTCACCTGTTCATGTATAATTACATATTTGTAAGAAATTAAAAACATAATGACGAGAAAAACACAGCATCAATCCTACAATCATCTTACTGCTATACGCATGAAATGAATCCAGTTTCCAATTTTGGCTTCCAAAATCTCCCATTGCAGCTTTTGAACATCATCTTTGTTGAGTTTCTCAACTCCAAGCTTTTGGAGGCTCTCTTCCAATACATTTGAACGGGCATCTCTACATAATTATAATAAAAGTGCAGTAGTAATGTTAATCATTGTTGGAAATGGGTATCATAAGTACATTTTTATGCACTATACCTAGGGGTGTCAAAACCATGCTGTATATTAAGCCACCACCACAAAGCCTACAGAATTATGTTTCCCTAATGCAGTCCAATTTATTTTCAAGCCCCACATGCTCTCAGCATGAATTAAACTGGGTTATTAGAACATGTTAGAGGTATCAATGCAAAACCCTGTTCACGACCTAGGAATGGTTTTCTTACCAATCACGTGACCATAACTTCTAGCCTGCTAAATAAGGATTGACAGAGCTATAGAGGGAGAATGGAAAAAAAAATAAACCGTTTCTAGTTAAAACATATATGGACTCTAATTAAGTTTATTTTGCAAGACTTTCATATGATAAAATATTGAAACTTTTTATTTTGGAGTTGGACTTTGATTATGATTTGTAGTTAATTTTGTATGATGGAACATTGATATTTTTTATTTTGGACTTTTAGCATGGTTTGTATTTAATTTTATATGATGAGTTATGACTTATGACTATTAATAATGTTAATTTTATAACTATTATGTTATTTGAAATTTTAAATTTTGTTTGTATTTTTTTTTTAATTTTTTGGTGGGTTGGTGGGCTGACCCATTTGACCCACCAACCCGTGGTGGGCCAGGCCGGGCCATAAAAATTCTGACAAAATAAAAAGTGGGTCAGGTTGAGTTGGCCCGTTTTTAAGGTGGGCCAAAGTAGGTCAACCCACATAGACCGGGCTGACCCGTTTTGACAGCTCTAGGTGAGATGTAAAATGTTGATTGCGTTGCCGGTATGGACTTTTAGAAAAATATATTAAGTGTCATTTGTGCATCACAATCACAAATATACAAAATTTTATGATAATAGAAGAAATAGGAAGAAAAATAAATGAAAGTTTTTTTTTTTCTTATTCAAGTGTCATTTGTACATTACAATGTCTTCTTATGGGTTTATTCTTACGGATCATTAAATCGCATGTATTACAGCCATTAAAATAAAATACAAGTTATATAAAATATTAATAAAAATATAACTAACGGTATATGATTTAAACCGTACATCTTACATTAATAAATTGTGGATTTGAATAGTATTAGTCTCTTTAATAATGTACCAAAAAAAAAGTCTCTTTAAGTAAATTTTAAATTCAAATTTTTTGGATCAAAAAATCTAGTTGAAATGAAAATTTTCACTAAATATTCTCTTCCATCAACATGATTAAAAAAAAAAAAAAAACCTGCACACCCTGCAATTATATTTCCAACTGTTGGGGATCCGTATCCTTTCTGCAAGAATTTCCTATATACTTAAAAGCATAGGTTTAAAACTCAGACAGGTCATCGAACCGGTTAAGGTACTAGGTCAGTGGGTTAAAAGTTGAACTGGTGGATCATTAATTGAATCGCATGACTCGATTTTTATTTATTTTTATTAAAATTCCAAAAGATGAACAAAAATAAGTACAAAAATACATACCTGTAAGATGATAATAACTGCTTAAACTCATCTTCTAGCTTCGAAATAGCCTTAGCTAGCAAATTATTAGCGTGGATGACAATACCGTCACTGCTCTTAAAACCCTTCTTGCTGCCAAAAAACTGAATATTGCTTCTCAACTTATCAATTGCTTCAAGATAGTTTTCCAGGTCTTCATGTGGCCCTTTAAGTATTTTTGCCTCTGCCTGTATAATAGATCAATGAGAATATAAAATGATGTAAATGACATATATGTACCACATATCTTATTAAAAGAAAAAGAAGAAAAGTCCATAAGTTGTCATCTTGTAATTAAATTTTTTTAAAGTACAAGGATATGAATTTTTTTTGTACCAATCTCGCTAAAGTACCATTGTTCTGCTTAAAAACAAGAACAAAATAAAAAAAGAGAATAAACTAAATAAGAAAGTGAAGACATAAAATATCTTTCACAGTGAGTATTAAGTGGCTACTCTTCATAATCTTCATTGCAAGTAGCAAATTTTCATTCAGTTTCACCCATGGACCTAAGTGCCTGTGATTTATTGCCAGCCGAACCACATCAAATTCTGTGTTCATTTCTCTTCTTTTTCTCCACTTCTCATCTGATACTTGTAACAAATACTTGGTTGGTGACCCATGAAATTGATAAGAACCTTGGGAGAACCACACCACAAAAGATAGTTGTTGTAGTTGGAAATGCCAAAGACCTTAAATAAATCCCACACCATGAGCCCATACTTCCAATGTGGGACTGGAGTCCCATAACTTACGATTGAATTCAAACAAAAACTTGTATCAGGTTGCTATGAATAAAATATGCCTTTAATTTGCCATTTTCCTATGCTTGGAGGGGTGTTCCAGGCTTCTATATATAGGTTTCTCATGTAAAAGAAAAGAGACGGAGTTATCAACGAGGAATTTAAAAACCTTTTGTGCTTTCTTCACTAAGTTTTGTATCCGTTAGGAGGATTTCATAGAGTGTTGAACATTATCCCAGCACTTTTTATCCCTTTGGCGGATTCAAAATGATGAAGAGTGCATCTTGTTTTGTATTTCTAACTTCGTAAGATCCAATTTAATTTTCAACTTTTGTTGCTTGAGACACGTAACAATTTTGTAGTTGTTCAAGGCATTTTCTTGGTCATTTCCTCGAGAATTGTATGTGATCTTCTAGTTCAACTTCAACATATCTCCTCTTTCATCTTGTTTTGGAATTTCTTCAATCAGAAATTTTAGGTTAGTGCCCTTGTATATTTGAGAACAGCCACCCCATCCCCTTATGCAACTTGGCCAGTATCCAAGAACATCCAGATTATTCCAGAATGAAAAGATGAAACATTTCAATTGATAAGAGTGTTCCAAACCCACTGCATAAAGCCGCCCTACAAAAATCATAAGTTGAAGCTCACGCAAACATTACGATGAAGTTGGGGAAATCTATTGCTGGTTTTTCGACACTGCATCATAACCAACTGATAGCATCTGTTTTACATTGTAGCATAGCATGAAAAAAATGCAACAAGCTTTTCATGTTTCTCAGGAAATATGGATTTGTCCAGATAGCTTGGAGAAGAAATAGGTTTGTTGTCTTTAACTACAAGTTATTGGTATACAGGTTTTGCTTTTGACTTGACACACTACTGGAGTAGGAAGATAGATCATAGTAATGTAAAAACAACATTTGCAATAACACCATAATGCAAAAATCAGATAAGTTGACCAAACGAGACAAGGGTCAGGCCTTCAGATTTGCAATTTATCAAAGCAAAGCAACAAACAGACATGCCTTCAGCTAGATTATATAAACAAAGTAAAATGAAATTAAGCAGCATTGCAACCAATTCAACAAAATTTGAATTTAACAACACATTCACGACGACACAAAATTGAACTTGTAATTCCAATTTATCAATTCGACAAAGAGCAATATAATTCATATAATATATATATATATATAAAATAAAAAAAAAGGGTACATTATGAAGAAGAAGAAAAAAACAGATCTTTTCAACCTGACGATATTGATCAAAGTGAGCCAATATAACCTCCGCAGCCTTCAGAGTCCTATCAATATTCTCATGAGCCTTCCTTATGGAGTGAGTTCTAATCTGCAAACCCAGATGAAAAGATCCAACATTTAACCACCCTCCAGATCCCCACTTGAAAAACGAAGGACCCACCCAATGACCCAAAGCAAAACCCCATTGCACCCAAGTCAAAGACAAGTCAAACCAACAAAACCCCATTTCCAAAAATCCCATTTTTAAACCAACCCAAGCAAAACCTGCCCCCGGAGAAGCGAAGGGCACCTGAGTGGGACGCATGGCGGTTTCTAGGGCGGAGAGACGGTGGTCGAAGGAACCCAGAATGGTGACGACGTTGTCTGCGATGGTTTGGCTCTTCTGCAGAGACTCTCTCATCAACGCTGCCTTTTCACTCAGCAAATCAACACTCGCCACTGCAATCCCCATCTTCTTCTTCTTCTTCTTCAATCTCACACAGAGAAAGTGGAAGAAGAAATCAGAGGTTATTATTGTTGGTGGAGCTTTTCAATCGGTAGAAGCTGTGAACGTGATGTTGTTGTTAGGTACTTTTCCGGTTGAGGGATTATTTTTATTTGAATGATTAGTTAATATCATAAACACTCAATTTGCTGTATTTTCAAGTCTCATCTCATGTTTGGACTTGGTTGGTTGTTACTTGTGTATGGAATAGTTGTTGAATTATTTTATAGTACTATATTTTTACTTTTACTCCTTCAAAAAACAAACAATTCTGTTTTTTAGGTTCCTGTTTTGGATAATGAGTATACTTTTGTACACCTGTTTCGGTCATATAATGTTTCACGTTAGATTTCCATTTACCATTTTGGAAATTCAACTAACAAAATAACGAACTTGTCATTTGTATTTTTTTAAATGGTGAATAGTAAATAAATAAATTATAAGTGTGAGTAAATAAGAGAAGGAAATTACATCTCAAGTACTGCACTCCATTCTTACCCACTAAGAGCTGGTATAATTATATGTTTTTATTAAATACCCTTTCTTTAAGATGATTCTAATAAATACCGTTACAAATATACTTTTAACAATTTAATGGATCAACACTTCTATGAAAGTTAATATGTTTAAGTATTTAAATAAGGTAAAGAGTATACAAATAATATTAAAGGCTTTTTTATCGGTAAATAATATTAAAGGTTTAATTTGTATGATTTTTGGCTTTTGAATCCAGTTGGAAAATGTTTTCGAAAAACTGAACTGAATCTTACACCTAATCATTTCTTGTTCTAGGAATAGACTTGATTTGGTTAGTCACATTGTTCAAGTCTTTTTTCTTAATGCAAAGTGTTAAACTCAAAACATAGAGGAATCATGTTTTGAGCTTAATGACTTTAGGATTCAACCTTGAGACTAGTGTTCCTATTAGTAAAAATATCACAATAAATCCAATTGATATTGTTTAACCATCTTAATTTTTCACTTTCAAATATATTGGTGATCTAAGAGACTAAAATAATATTTTTTTAAATTTCAGGGACTAAGAACAACGGTTTCAAATTTGAGGGACCAAAAACAGATTATTTTAAATTTAAAGGATTAAAAACATATTTAAGCCTTAAAAATATAAATAATATGTACATATATAATATGCTTGCAATTGATATCACAAAATAATATATGTAATATCTACATAGATATTATATTATTAAATATATAATTTAAAATTAATAATATACTATAAAAATTATTAAAGTTGTATATATTACAAACAAATACATTAGAACAAGTAGTCATTGTTATATTTAATAAGACTATTTGCTCTTCTATTAAGAAATTCAATTTTCATTATTATTTTTGTGGTTTATAGTCCCTTAAAAATAAAAATAAAAAATAAGAAAAAAAAGTGGTTGAACCGGTTTGACCCACCGGTTCACCGGTTGAACCAAAAAATTGACCGGTTCAATCCAGTTTAAAACGGGTCGACTGCATAACTGATCCAACTTAAGATTCGAACAGACTGAACCACCGATTCCCGGTCCAACCAGGCGGTTCGATCCGAGTCTTAAAAGTAGTGAAAAACATTATTCTTAAATATATCCAAACTTTCATTAAAACTTTCCAATGAAAATGGTACGTTTGACTTAGCAATGAAAGTTGTGATAATATATATAACGTTTTAGTTTTTTTTTTCTTTATAATTTGTTTTATTGATAGAAAATTACTTGATATACCACAAATAAAATTGGATGCGGTCAACTATGTCCGTATTTTCATTCACAAGAATGTTAACAACACATTTTAGAATATATTTCTTTTAACATACTATTTTTTTATATTAAATTTATTAAAAATTACATTATGAAATAAAAATTTATTAAATAAAATGTAAGACTTAGTAAATTATGTAATTTTTAATAAATTTTGACCAATAAAAAATATGTTATTCCCTTTTTAGTAGGTAAGATTTTCTTATTTTTACATTTTATTATATAATATTTTGATAATGATAGATGATACTACAATTTATTATTAGATATTTTTATATTACATTATTTATTTTGTTTTGATCATTATATTATTTAAAATATTTATTTTATTATTTGAATAAGATTATAAGTTTATTTTATTTGTATTATTTTTGATATATTTATATTATACTGTTAAACATAGTCATCATCCTTATATTATATGTGGAAATCTTAATTTTTTGTTGTCTGTCCAATTATTTTCTTCCATGCAATGAGTGTGTTGTAAGAAGTTATGTTGGATTTATATTGTTATTGTAATTTGTTAGTGATAATTTAATTAAAATCCTGCAGTTACTGCAGATGTTGGTTGATTTGAGAAAATAATTTCTTTGGTGGGTGATTGTGATTTGGCATAAGTAATAAGTTTGGAACAGAAAAAGAGTGGAAGTTGAATCAAACATTAGTGGCATGTCTTATTCGTACACATACTACATATTTTGGAGCGTGTCTAAGGCATGTAGTATATTTTCGCAGTGTTTTATAAAATGGGAAAACACAAAAACTTGGTCTTATTTTATCGAGGCATGCGGATAATTCTGTGTGCGCTTGTGAATTAAGAAGGTGACCCAGGTTTGCACTACGGAAGAGGCACGTGGCAGCTAATTCCAAACAGGAATACAAATTACTAGTGTGAGAGGGAAACAAGTCGTGCTTCTGACACAAGAAGATCGAACATTGAATGGGGGAATTCATAGGAAAAAAAAGCACATTATTTTATTAATTTAATAAAATAGAGAGAAACCGAAAAGGAAAGAGGGTGAAAAATAAAACAAATCTTTTTTGGTGTGACGAGGACGTTTTGGTTCGTAAGAGCGTCCAAGTTCTCTTCATGTAAGAATGTGGGGTCCCCTTCTCTCTCCTCTTCTAAATCCAACTCACCCCTTTCTCTTCTCCCACGAAACAACGGCGCTTTCTCTCTCTCTCTACATGGTTTGTGGTTTAGCATTGGAAAATAGACAAAGGGTATTGCTCAAAAGGTTAAGATTCTCTGCATAGAGCCTCAACACAACAACACTTCATTTTTTTCTTCACCCTGCTTCTGCTGTGGCCTGGAGACTGCGGTTTTTTTCCTTCTTCTTGCTTTTGCTTTGCTTTGGTTTGTTATGAGCACTGGTCTTCAGGAGGGGCCTTTTTCTCAAAAGGGTCGTTCGCACCCAGCACCTTGTGCTACAGTGGAGATGTTTTTTATTTAACTTATATGTTGGGATTTGGTGGCTCCTTCAAGTGGGTTCCTTTATTTGGTCTTCCCAATGGTGGAGGTGGGTGCACTTGTTCATTCAACGTGTATAAAGTGATTAACTTTGGTGGTGGAGCGTTTTGATTTGATGCTGAACATAGTACAGGAGATTTGGTTAATGTGTTATTAGCGGGGCATCTTTAACAAGGCTTTGCTGTTTCCAGGGTAAGGTTAAGATCTGATGAAGGTGGAAATTCTGATTGCATTTAGGGGCTGTAATTCTTCAGGTACTGTTACTTATTTCTTAGGACTGCATTACTGGGCTTTCGGTTTCTTTTTCTTTTTTCTTTGTTTATTTTTGTGGGGGAGAAGGTGTTGGTTTGAAGGAGTTTGAACCTGTTGGACTTTGGTTTTTTAATAATATTTTTTTGGCTTTGCCTTCCCCCAGGTTTATAGCATAGCTTGGGCTTTCCTGATTCTTTTATTCCCGTTTATTTTACCCTTTTATTTAATATTTGGGTTTTCTTTTTGATGGAAATGTCCTCTTCACCGGCTGGCACTGTATTATTCACTGAATCATACCACTCCGTTAACAGGGGTATGCGGAATGAAAGAAGGTTAAAATTGAAATTACAAGAGGGAAATATTTCAGATCCTTTAATTTAGGAAAGGAAATATAGTTTTTTTTTTTATTATATATTTTATAATCTTTCTTTGATTTGGATCTCATGTTTTTCTTTTTCTTTGGTTTAGATCTTGTTGAGTTTTCAATTTTTTGTTCAACTGTTGATAGGGCAAGACAGTTGAGAGGGAGGAGGTTGGCCTATTAATTTATATCCTTAGATGGATTGAGGAAGCAGCTACACATTATTGGATCAATGTTAAAAGCAGTGGCTTCTGGGTTGTTGATTGCCTCCATCTTCACATGTGTATCTGCAACAGATAATGGATTTCCTAGATGTAACTGTGATGATGAGGCCAGCTTGTGGACTATTGAGAGCATTCTCGAGTGTCAAAGAATTGGAGATTTCTTGATTGCTGTGGCCTACTTCTCCATCCCTATTGAGCTGCTTTATTTCATTAGTTGCTCAAACGTCCCATTCAAATGGGTCCTTATCCAGTTCATTGCTTTCATTGTACTATGTGGATTGACACATTTGCTGAATGGGTGGACCTATGGCCCTCATACTTTCCAACTTATGGTGGCGCTTACTGTCGCTAAAATTCTCACTGCATTGGTGTCATGTGCCACTGCCATAACCCTCATCACTCTGATTCCTTTGCTTCTCAAAGTGAAGGTCAGGGAGTTCATGTTGAAGAAAAAGACATGGGATCTTGGACGCGAGGTTGATAATATTATGAGACAAAGGGAGGCTGCAATGCATGTAAGAATGCTTACTCAGGAGATACGCAAGTCACTTGATAGACATACGGTTCTGTACACCACATTGGTGGAGCTGTCTAAAACGCTTGGCTTGCAAAATTGTGCTGTGTGGATGCCTAATGTTGATAAAACTGAGATGAACCTCACCCATGAATTGAATGGGAGGAATTTTAATTTGTCTATACCCATTAGTGATCCAGATGTTGTGAGAATTAAGGGAAGCGATGGTGTGAATATACTAAGCTCCGACTCAGCACTTGCGGTTGGGAGTAGTGGAGTTTCTGGAGAGCCAGGACCGGTTGCAGCAATCCGAATGCCAATGCTACGGGTTTGTAATTTCAAAGGAGGAACACCTGAGCTAAGACAGACTTGTTATGCAATATTGGTCCTAATTCTTCCTGCTGGAGAGACTAGATCTTGGAGCAATCAGGAGCTGGAGATAATTAAGGTGGTTGCTGATCAGGTAGCAGTGGCTCTATCTCATGCTGCAATTCTTGAAGAGTCCCAACTTATGAGAGAGAAGTTGGAGGAGCAAAATCGAGCTTTGCAATTGGCGAGAAAGAATGCTTTGATGGCAAGCCAGGCAAGAAATGCATTTCAGAAAGTCATGAGTGATGGAATGAGGAGGCCAATGCACTCAATTTTGGGATTGCTTTCAATGATACAAGATGATAATTTAAAGAATGAACAAAAACTTATTGTGGATGCAATGCTAAGAACCAGCAACGTCCTATCAAACTTGATAAATGATGCCATGGACAACTCTGCAAAGGACGACGGAAGATTTCCTTTGGAGATAAGGTCTTTTGGGTTACATTCCTTGCTGAAGGAAGCGGCTTGCCTTTCCAAGTGCATGTGTGTTTATAGGGGCTTTGGTTTTATGGTTGAGGTTGAGAAGTCTTTGCCTGACAATGTTATGGGTGATGAGAGGAGGGTTTTTCAGGTGATTTTACATATGGTTGGGAACCTACTGGAACACAACCATGGGGGAGGGATCCTTGTATTTCGGGTTTTTGCTGAAACTGGAAGTCAAGGAAGGAGTGACAAAGGGTGGACAACCTGGAGACCAAGCTCATCTAGTGGTGATGTAAATATTAGATTTGAGATAGGGATCAACAGTAGTGATTCTGAAGTTGGAAGCTCAGTTTCTTCAGGACTTGGTGGTAGGAAATATAACAGTGATAGGGTTGCGGGCAGATTGAGCTTCAGCATTTGCAAGAAGGTAGTCCAGGTGAGTTTCGTAAAGTCTATCATATGTATGCATGGATGTGGTAAATGCATTAAGACACTGATTTACATTGAGTCATTAGCTATATAAGTAGAGTATCTTGCAGACTTTGGTGGAAGGCTCTTTAAGCAGTCCTTCATCATCCAAAGCTAAATTTTCCTTTTGCTGGCCTTTAGATGATTCATCAGGATGGTTGTTTACCCATGTTATTCATAGCTAGGTGTGACAAAAACAACTGAATTTGTCTATTTTGTTTGGAAATTTCATTTTTTATCTGCTCTCTTCCTTAAAATGTTTTAGGCAAACTCTGGGAGATTGAAGGCAATGCATGTTGAGATTATTAACTAGCACATACAATAGTTTAACTGTAGTTTTCTTCTAGATGTCCTTGATTAGTTAAAATTCATTATATGAATTAGGGTGTAGTTTTCTACTTTCTTTAGGACCTGATATTTAAGTTAATGTTATTTTATTTAGCAATGATTGTAGTCTGTAAATTATTTTTCCTTTTTGGTACTAAATTTCTGTCTATTATGTTATTTGCAGTTGATGCAGGGGAACATATGGTTGGTTCCTTGCACTCATGGTTATCCTCAAAGCATGACACTTCTTCTGCGGTTTCAACTACGACCATCCATTACCATTGCCATCTCTGAACCTGGAGAATCTTCTGAGCGTACAAATTCCAATTCAATGCTGAGTGGTCGGCAAGTTCTTTTAGTGGACAATGATGATGTAAATAGAGCAGTGACCCAAAGATTGCTTCAGAAACTAGGCTGTGTTGTAACTGCAGTTTCTTCAGCATTTGAATGCCTTACTGTGATTGGACCTGCTGGATCTTCTGTTGAAGTCATTCTTTTAGATCTTCACATGCCTGATTTAGATGGCTTTGAAGTTGCCACAAGGATTCGAAAGTTTAGAAGTGCAAACCGGCCTATTATTGTTGCCTTGACTGCAAGTGCAGGAGAAGATTTGTGGGACAGATGCATGCAAGTTGGTATCAATGGAGTTATCCGCAAACCAGTTTTGTTGCAAGGAATTGCTAGTGAACTCAGAAGAATCCTGATGCAGGGAAATAATGTCCTGTGAGAATAGAGGGTGCAAGTTGTAACACTTCAGCATCAAGTATTTAAGTTATTTTAAGTCACATTCTTGGTAGAATTAGAACACAGCACTCTTTGGCTCCCACTTGCTAGCAATTTTCAGCTTTAGAGATGTTATTATACACACGATTTTCATAAGAAAAAAAATGGTATACAGATTAGTTCCTTTTCAATGTTATTTCCATGCATGTGGCTTCCCACATATCCATACAATCTAAAGAATGAAAAAAATAAAATCTAAGAATACAAGATATAATTCTAGGATGTTTTGGAATTCATTTTTAAGAGAAGTATTCTTTTTTAAAAGAGCATTCGAATCGTATATTTGTTTGTGAAAATAGGCCTGTAAGTTAATATCATCTATTATCAGTTTTTATTTTAGAATTTTGAATGAAACAAATAGACTTTCAAATAGCTTGTTAATGCACACCAGCCACTTTTATTCCTTAACGTTATATCGATGATAAAGTTGTAATAATACCATACGCTTTGGGAGTCACTATTGTATGTTCAATTGTTTTTAGAAAAACGTGAATTACAAAGATGTATAATAATATTAAATAACAAAAATAAATGTCCTACCATAGGAACATCTAAAGAATATGAAATAAATATCTTAAGGTTGTCCTGTCAGCATTTGGCACGCACTGAGAGAGACAACCTTTAACAACTATCAGAGTTGGATAATTGGCAGTGAGAGATTATCGAAATGAATAAGCGAAAAAATAAAAATGTGGAAAAATAGAAAGAAACGTGAGAGTATTGAAGTTCTAATATTGGTACAGGTGCGTTTGCAAAAGAGAGAAAGTTTGATTTGGTTCAGAAACTGTAATCGGTTTCTTTTTCACATAATTATAAACTTCATTCAAGGTATGGGCCGGTTGTTTTTGAACTTGAAACCATGCATGAACCTGAACACGTACCTAGAACACTTGTCATTTTCACGTGGACCCATTCCCTTATTTTAATTTCCCCGTGTTCCTAACACACTTAGCCCAACTTGCCTTTTATTATTATTATTTTTGTTATATCTTCTACTTGTCTATTTGGCACATTACTTTATTGTTTTCTTCACTATCAACTTTTCCCCTATAAGACCCAAACGAAGTGAAAATATTATAAGAAAAAATCCTTATATTTAGTAATCTCAGTTGGTGTGATGTAAACCTCTTTTATTTACTATTAAAAACAAACACGAAAGTTGTTTTATTACTTTGTTAAAAAAAACTTTAAAAGGAGTTAGAGTTGTCAAAAGTAGGATTGTTCCAAAAATATTAATGAACCTAATTGTAACATCATCCAAACTGAAATGAGGTAATTTTTTTTAAGATATTTAATAAATACTATTATATAGATATAATTTTAAAAGTTTTATGCAAATAAAATATATTATTAAATATCTTATTTTGTTGGTTTTGATTAAATAATAAATGTTAATATGTTTTTAATCTCTCAAATTTAAAATAAATTTATTTTTGACCCCTCAAATTTGCTGTTCTTTTTAGACTACATAATTTTAAAAAACTTTGTTTTAGTTCTCTTAACCATTGATAACATACACAATTGACAGTAGTAAGTAGAAAAAAGTTATGTAATATTAATTGAATTTAATGTTATGTTTTGACTAACAAAAATATACACTAGTAGATAATTTTGTGTGATAATATTTTATATATTCTCTAATAACATTTGAGTAGGAAGATTAAATTAAGACTTTTTTAAATTACAAGATTTAAAAATTAATTTTAAAATTGAGAGACGAAAAATAATTTTTTCTCATATTTGAGAAACTAAATATATATTTAAAATCAATAATAAATACTGTTCATATTTTCTTGCTAAGTCAAACAAAACACTTTAACCAATGAAATTATAACTTAAAAGTCACTTTAGTCTCAAAATGTTATTAGAATTATATTTTAATTAAGAATTTGTGACATAAATATTTACATTATAAAATACATAATTAAGCTAATATTACAAATAGAAAGACTACTACATTCAAATCATATTATAAAATTGGTATTTTACATTATATTTTATTTTAAGTATGTTATGTTCCCTATTCTAATTTTCATTTGTCCATCCTCTTTCATTCATATTATTTTTGACATAAAAAAAATAAAGTTTCTAGTTTTTCTATATTATTTTCATAATTCATCCACTTATCAATTATTTCTTATTTTCCCTCTATTTTAGAAAACGTTTATTACTTTATTTCTTAAAAATTGTAAAATTTACAATATTCCATTTTTGTTTTGAATAGTTTCTCAATATATATATTTTTTAATTTATGTGTAAGTTAATTTTAACTTATAAAAAAGTAAATTTTAACTTTTTTAAAAAATATTTATAAAGAAGTTTATGTGAACAAATCCAAGTTATAACATAGGTTTGAGTTAGTTTCATTCATATTCTATGAACTTAAACCTCATACTTTAATTGATATTATCATATTTGCATCTTTAAAATTTGAACCAAAATGAGTAAATCATCATAATTTTTCCTTTCATTTTAGTTTGTTTTAGGTCGATCTAAAATCTTACGACCACCATTATTTCAAAAAGTAAATATTTATACTTTAGATATATCATTATTTAAAAAAAGAGAAAGGTGACATAATGATGTCTACAAATTAATCTTTCATTATCAATTTTAAAATATTATATCAATCATGTTTAAGAAAAAAAATCAACCTAGATCTAATATACATTGAAAATACTTTTTTAGAATGATATAAATAAAAAATAACGACTTTTTATCATGAAAAATTAAAACAAAAATTATCTGAATTATTTTAGAAGTCGCATTATTATTATTATTTTTTAATTTATTACGTGACTTTAAATTTTCACCATCCATGTATGGTTGCATAATCAAGATTCAGTTTTTTTTACTCTCATATTAAAAAATCGTTCTCATAATTATGCCTTCCTATATATGAGGGCCATTAAGCTTTTCTTATATGAAAAATAGAAAGTATAAATCATATTAAAACTATCGGTGCTCAAACTTTTTAATTTATATATATATATATATATATAAATATATATATGT